ATTCTAAATAGTAAGTCAGAATCAGGCCTTAGGCGTTGCAGATGCGTAAGCTCGGCCTCCCAGACGAACTTCTACTATTTCTGGAAATTTATCTAAAGTCAACGATTAGGATTAGAGGCTTGGCCAACAACCAGCACTTGCGTTGATACGTGACATGAACAATCTCGGTTAAAGTGGACTATGAGCGGACTTTACTGATTCTGCATCATGAAACTCAAAGAAATTACTCCCAGATGTGAGCAAGCAGGCATTCGTATATACGAAACCTGTATATGCAGTGCAATCCCATCACAGTAACCCATAGGATCTTGTCAACATATCATATCTCATCTATCCTTAGAAAAGTTTCATGAAGATATTCTAATTCTTTCTTGTTTCTTTGATTCGTGGCAAAACCTTTCGCGGGAAGAAAATTTCTTTTCTACTTTAGGATTCAGAATGCTGCAGCGGAGTACTCCTTGTTTCTACCAGCTATACAAAATGTTTTGATCGGTGCATACAAAATGTTTCGGCTATTCTTTGGTGAATTCAGTTCATTCAAGTAAGTGGATCATATCATCGTAAACATAACAATTTTTCTCCTCTTTCCGTGTAATCCATCTAATTTTCTCTTTAGGAGGAAAAATCCACAAAAATTCAAGGAACGTTTGGAATACTTCTTCGGCCGCTATATACCTTTGCTGAAACTGCATAGGGTTTGTTATTTATTCTACTTGATTCTAAACTTTTATCTATGATCTGAGCTCAAGAAGCGGTTTGTTACAGATGCCTCTTCTAGACTACTTAAATGGAGCTGCCTTTCTTCCTCTCAATGGTCCAACATATCTTAATGTTGTTTCGTTATCATCTGAGCTTCTAGAAGAGTTTCCTGTGATTCAGAAAGTTCTAATTCTGTACCAGGTACATTTTGTTCATTTTATTTTTTCATATTATTGTACTTGACTTCATCTCTATTAGGATAAAGTACTGTACTACACGATATCTCGTAGAGATCTGCCCTCCCTGTTTCGGTATCTCACCCAGAGTCTTCTGCCCATGACTATAGGAGACGAACTTGACTATCAATCTCGGTAAGATCACACTATAATCAAAATCCAGGCATGTTTTTACATTAGCTGTTTGCATATATGCATATAGTGCACTTTAAACCACGATAAGGACATTTTTTATTGCACTTATATAAATTTGTATTGTTTTGAGCCTGCTACTGATCTGCTTAAACTTTCAGACATCCTGCATAGTCTTATTATATTTAGTTATTTTTTAAAAAAATATCAAATTAAGATCAACCCATGGACGGTTTTTACGTGGACCTTCGGACATAACAACAGATGCCCCTTTGGTTGGAGATGACGCTCTACCAACGGTGCACATCTATAACTATGACGAAAAAGAGGATACGGAAGAGCTTGTGAAATATCAGATGGTATCCGTTTCTTTGCAATTCATAGCATATGTGTATCTTTAGATTTTAGATGGTTTATCGAAGTCTTAATGCTACTGTCTGCATGTTCACTACTCAAGATGTTACAAGAAGATTAATGCGAAATATTGACGGTTACCTGGGTAGTGAGTTGAGCAAAGTCGCATCACAGATCGGAGATTGGTGAGTTGATTATCTTATCTTTTGTTTACAAATTTTTAATCAGTATCTCCTGTCCACCAATGATATCTAAAGACTGTAAAATTCATTATTTCTCTCCTATTTTCCTACAACCCTTCCTCTTCCCTCCCTCCCACCTCCATATCACCCTGCACCGCTTCCCATAAAGCAGGATGAATGTTTTTCGAGAATACCTCACTGTCATTTTTATTGCATCTATCTGTTTTTATTAAGTCATTTTTCCTTACTCTATGGAGTTTCTGATTTCATTATCAAACTTTCTTAGTAAACTCTTCAGCGTTGAATCCAAGTGACAGACGTCTATCATCACGTGTGTTCCTTGTCCTCTCATATGGCCAAGTCCATGTTTTGTCCATCATTCGCTGTCAGCAACTCCTTATCTACTGCAGCAAAAAAAATCCGCGAATCTTGTGTCGCAATAATACGCATAAAGTACATGTTACTTTTATTGTATTTTCTACTCCTTTTTCATAGCAAATTATTCAAGCGAGAGAAGAAGTAGGCAGTCAACTACTATTCGTCCCTGTTATCCTCTTATTTTATCATAACTTAATGCCACATGTCTCCACCACGTTCTTGCTCTTCAACCTTCGCCTCACATTTTCAGAGGTACATCATGAGTTAATTTATCACTTCTCATATATCTTTGATGGTTCCTAAATCTCTTTCCAACAAAGCTTTGAAACTGAAGAAGCAGTCGCACTTTTGTGCGCTTGAGACTTAACTTTGAGTATGAAAACAGAGTTGTTGTGGATCTACATCTGTACAACAATTCTATTTCTTGCAACCTTATTTCCTCATTTTTTCACTACACAGCTCTTGTTAGTGGCAGCAATGATTACTGAAATCATTTGATTTGCCTGCGGGGCAGTTTGGTGTCTTGTCTCATCTATGTCCCTTTCCATTTGATCTTTGACAGTTTTATAGTCAAAACAAACAATTACGAGACCTATGTACATTGAAGCAGTTAGCGTTTCTGTTAGGTAAATGACATTTGGAGGATTTTTTTT